TATAAGACTTTTTCAATATAAATTCATTCAAGTTTTCTAGTTTACCCTATAGCAATTAGCTTATACATTCTTGCAAATAGTTCATTAGTCTTTACTACTTTCAATAGTTTTGTTATTGTAATTTAGAAAGTGTTGATTTGTCTTTGATTGTGGTCAAATGGCTTTAAGTGTTTCAATGACTAATGATGTAAGTGTCATATCTTTCGATTTATAGAATTTATATTTTTTCCAATGAGTTTTATCTCTTTCGATTGACAAAATTCTCTCTATCTATCGAGTATTATTTCTTCCGATTAATAACATTTCTTTATTTTATCTTTTTCTTTAAATTGAGTATCCATGAAAAGTCTTAGTGGCTTGCAAGACGAAATCGAACTCCATATTTTTTAATCATGAAATTCTTGATCATAAATTAAAGCATCAACCTACTCTACTTTAAGATCAAATTTGATGAGAAACACTAAGTTTTGGTGACCATAGTGGAAGAGTAATGGCAAAATGTGGTACTACTAAAAGTATGACAAGACACAAACTCTCCGAAGAGGACCAAATTAATCAAACACTCCCTATTTCGTTAAAGATATCATACAAATTTTTGAAGGTGAACCGCTAATGGAAACTATAAAAAACCGGTATTACGAGGGAACTAGGGATCACAATGAGGTAAAACCTAAAAGTATAACTAACAAAGGATAACCCGATAGTCGAAACAGGTTTGATGTCGAATTCAAGAACTTATGGGTTTAGAAAGAAGTGATGGTTCCATAAATAGAAATCATGAAATCAACTAAAGTCATCAACATGTGTCCATCTAGATATTGAAATTGGTTGATGCGAGAGATTTTCAAAAATGACCATCATAATTACTAGATTAGGGTTTATTGTATCATAATAGGTCGATAGAAGAATGGTCTCATGAATTCTCATTGCATCCCATTTCTTGACTAATTATGGGATAAGTCTTTTCTTAACCTAATCTTCATATTTGGTATCTAGTTTCGATCAAATAATAGAAAAAATTTTTGGTAGACTAAGTATAATTTTGGAGAGTTAAGTAAAGTTCTAGTGAAAAGAGTATACCAACATCATAAGTCTTTATAAATACTTTGTTGATCATCTCTATAAGATGAACACCTTTGATGTTGACGAGTAGGACCCAACATCAAATAAGAGCTCTTCTATGAGATCTTTTTATGCCCAATCATAACATCAACGATGTCATTGCTAGTGACGAGTTTGAAAGGGGCATGTGTTAATAGCACTCGGTTAGCATCTATTAATCGCACTCGGTTGCTCAAAGAGCTAATTCGGTCGATAACAATCTCTTTGCGAGGTAACTTTCTCTTGAATAACCTTTTTGAAGACTTATTGTTTTCTTTTGAAGTCATTTTTTGTAAATGAAAGAAATGAAAGAGGAATTTAATAAAAAGTGGAAGAGATGTTCGACGGAATGTTAGAAAGAAAGTAAAGTTTTTTTAAAAAAATCTTGTAAAGTTTAGTAGAGGGATAAATCTCAATCAAAGTGAAAACATTGAGAATCACCTTTCCTTTTATATGATATATTTTAAAGATCATGATGATTAAGCTTTAAGATTCGATGGTTCGGATACGATGAAATAAAAACCATTGTCTACCGGGTAACCAAGGTGTTGAAGTGTTTACGGCTAGCTACTTAAGAAATAAAACATCGAGCGATCTTGTCACGTCCGTTAGCTTTTAATGCTTTACCCATTAGAGGAAGAAATTTTCATCATTTCATCTTTAAAGGGCTAAATGAAGGACATGTATTGGCGAGATCAAAATTTAAAAAGCCACATGTCAATCAAGTATAGTATCTTCTTATGATGAAACAAGTGAGACCTAAATAAAATGGTATGTTTTATCTTATAACAAACCAAGTTTTGACGAACCAAGGAGATTTAAGTGAAATAGTCTCGTTTAGTCTTATAACCAACCAAGCTCAATGAAACAACAAGATTTAAATGAAATGATGTGTTTAGTCTTATAATCGACCACATTCGACAAAGCAACGTGTCTAAAAGAAACGAATGAACGAGTTACCAATAATTGTTTATGTCTAACTTCAAATCTAAGAAATTTATCAATTGTAAGCTATTTAAAGAAGAGAAATTGATAGAATCAAACAATCATAATCAACATACAAGACTTTTTGAACATAAATTTATTCAAGTTTTCTAGTTTACCATGTAACAATTAGCTTCTACATTCTTATAAGTAATTCATTAATCTTTACTACTTTTAATAGTTTTGTTATTGTAACCTAAAAAGTATTGATCCATCTCTCGATTGTGGTCAAATGGCTTTGAGTGTTTCGATGGCTAATGATGTAAATGTCATATCTTTCGATTTATGATATTTATATTTTTTTTTAATGAGTTTTGTCTCTCTCGATTGATAAAATTCTCTTTATCTCTCAAGTTTTATTTCTTTCAATTAATAACATTCCTTTTATTTTATCTTTTTCTTTAAATTGAGTACCCACGAAAAGTCTTAATGGCTTGCTAGACGAAATTGAACCTCATATTATTTAATGGCAAAGTTCTTGGTCATAAATTGAAGCATCGACCTACTTCGCTTGGAGATCGAATTCGACAAGCGACAACAATATTCTATGAGTAGTAGATGAAAAATATTAACAAAGAATTCAACTTTTCTAAAAGGTATACATGCTGATGCGAGTTCATCTAATATCATCTTGACTTCTTTTAGAAAGGTTGAGATGTTTTTGTCAAAAAAGGTAAGCTCCTAAAGTGCAAGATGTAGTTACACATGTTTGACACCGAACCAAATCCAATGGCATGCATATCGATCCTTATGATGCATGGGAAAATGTTTTTAATGAGACAAGATAATATCCGACTTAAAAAAAAAAAATTGGTCATGTTGAAACCATTTAGAATATTATGAAATTGGTAATAATAGATTTGTGTTAAAATTAAAGATATATTTTGTAGGAGCGAGTGATTATCCTTTCAACATGGCTATTAAGATTATGGTAATCGAGAAGCAGTGAAAATTAGGGTTTTTAGGTTAAGAAATTGGTTGGTTTGAATTTGATGGAAAATGTGTGTTGAGCATGAGGTAAAGTAGAAGGAAAGCCGGAAAGAATTGTAGGAAAAAGGGAGATTAGAAGTTTTGGAGTTTTGAAAAAGAAGCCATTAAATCGCACTCGATACCAAGGAAGAAAATTATGTTGAAGGGAAAAACTCACTATATTGTATTGATGTTTTCTTGCTAATTATGTTTCTACGAGAGTAACATAAGATAAGTATTCCTAACTTATCTAATCAAGCTCTTATCAAAGTAACAAACTAAATAGTATAACAATAAATGAGTTACATAATATATATCGATAAAAAAAAAACTCTATTAGTTAGCAGATTTTTATAGTATATAAGTTATTAAAGACTTTCTCTATTCATTTATGTAGTTCTCTACTTGATACTTTGTGCTTTGCAGGAGAATCTCCAATTAAATTCAATGTATGGTTGAATTTGGCTCCTTCTAGAGTGGAATATTTTACATGACTGGCTCTCTTGAAAAAGCTGAATACTAGAGACTTTTTAGCTAGAAGTGAAATCATTAGTACTATAAAAAATTTATGCCCCTCCTATAAGTGTTGCATTGAGTCTATAACCTACATGTTATTGCACTATTGTGAAGTTTAGAAATTTTGGTCTCAAGTCATTACATGGTAGGGCTATGTTTAGGTAATTCTAGGTCTTATGAATGATATCTTCATAAATTGGATATTTTTTAGTATTGGTACATGCAAAAGAAAATTTGGTACTTGCTTTTATATAATGTCCTTTGGTCAGACTAGTTAACTCGGAATGTTAAATGACTCCATGTCAAATTAATTGTGACATCTTTTCTCTTATCGTGGTGTTTTGAGAAATCCTTGTGTGAATTTTTTTATGTGCTTTCTTAATTTCTACATGAATCAAAGATTTACATGAAATGGAGTTGTTGGCTATTAAGAAAAGTTTGAAAATTAGTGTTACTTCGCCTTTACCTTTTTAAGTCAATTGAATTATAGAGTTTGACTCGGCTATTGTAGTTGTTTGGTTGAATAAGTCTTCTTCTAAAAGATCCCGAAAGCTATAGAGTAATTTTAATATCATCTTTAATTTGATCTTGTGTTTAAATTTTTTTTTTTTTTTTTTACTCATGTACTTGAGGAAATAAACTTCATAGCTAATTCTTTGGTTAGGTAGAGTCTTTATAGTTCAAATCATTTTTTAGTTTGATTGTAACTTCTTGTTTTTTTTAGGTCATTGCTGGCTTCATTAATCTAATGATCGATTGCAAAAAAAAAAAAGTGATGGACTTCAATCTTATTTTTAGAGGTCATGAACTTCTATATTATTTTTAAATACAATAAAAATGTTAAATGCAATTATAGATTATCAGGGATGGTTAGAGAATGTTTAATTACACTCTTTACCACTGATGGGTTTGCAAAATCAGAGAACGGATTTTCAATTATATATATATATATATACACATATATCTGTTTTTTTAAAAAATAAATAAATAAATCTTCAGTTTTTATCCAGATAAAAAATTGCAATGGAGTCTTTATATTTTTCTTCATCAACATCAACAACTAGCTAGAGTCGAATCCTGCACTATAGTCATTACATAGACAGACTATATGATAATTTTAGTTCTTCTAAAATTTTGCAAGTAGTAAAAACCGTAATAGTCAATAAGGTTTTTATGACAACCTTGTTTTGGGTCCACCCAAAAAGATTGCCAATATGGAACTTCCGTCTTGGTTTCATCATTAATTTTTATTTATTATTAATTGGGACCAACCGATCTATTGACCTCTATATATATATTTTTAGGCGAAAAAAAAAAAACAATTCGACTGAATGTTTTCTCAAATATGCTAAATGGATGGCTATTACATCTTCCACGTGCCAACTGTTCATATTTGAAATTCACTATTGTATGGGAAAAGGCTAAAGGACAAGATCATGGTTCCATGCTGCATGGTGCCAAGAGCAATGGTTTCATGGTTCCTAGCAAGTTTCCTATCTTCTAAACGGATACTAGGAATGAGGCAGTTGACGCATGATTTGATGATGGATTCAAAGCATAATTCATCAGTAATATGATCCTTCGCATGTATGCAACAAATTAAAGGATTTAACAATGAAATATTTCTTCGCTAATAAGTTGAAAAAAAGCTCAAATATTATTGATGAAAATCACGATCCGTAGCTGAATATTATCTCAAATCGATGTTGATAGTCTTTCACTTCCATCGCTAACAATCTCAAATCGATGTAATTGTTATTTATTAACAAATTTGTTATTATATAGTGATAACATGTTGTTCGTCGTTAAATTGTAAATTTTTTATGGTGATTGTTATAAGTACATAGCAGCGCCTCAATTGTTGTTAATTAGATAAAAATAATTCAGAGAACATGCTTTCATTAGATGGATGTACTTTATGTCTTTCTAGTTTATGAGATTAGACAAAAATCAATTGTTGTTAATTATTCAATATAAAAACTTACAAAAAATATTCAGTCTATCTTTATATAATAAATTGATTTTTTAATATATTTTTATATTTTTAATTGAGTCAAATTTATCCTAGTAAAATGATTGAATTTCCAATCTATATTTTTCTTAATTTTTTTTATTTAAATTAACCGAATCAATTGTACACATGATTTAGTATTATACTAAAAATTACTACTATGATATTATCCTTAAATAGTTATCACCATATCGAACATAAAGCATGATGCAATCATATTGAATAGAAAAAAAATAAAAACATTAAAAAGTTTATAAATTAATGATAGTGATTTCTTGAAATAAAAGATTACGTATTCAAATTTTAATAAATTAATTCTGTTAGAAATCTTAGGTGTCCGAATTGAAAAAAAAAAACTGAAAATTATGGTTGCCGTAATTTTCTCATTAAATGCAAGGATTATGTAGCCAGGCTGTGTTGAAAGTTGTAGTCCATGCAATAGTGAAATGTAGGCCACACTGAAAATGATGTTCTCCTTAGTGTACGTACAATATATAACAATATTTATTTCATTGTATGTAGTGCAGCTCACATGGATCTTAAATTGCCTGCGGCGACATTGCTTATTAAATGAGTTCCTGATCTTTGCAAATATAAGCATGTGGGTACGTACCCTCAGCCAAACTGAAAACGTTACATGCATTATGACCATCGTATATTTACTGCAACTGTATCACTTTTGTAGCGTTGTCTGTTGGAACTGTGCCGTCTGGGCTCTGGTTTTCATTTTCTCTTATCCTCGTGAACCAATATCAAATAAATGCAAATATTAAGTTACACTTGATTGAAGGAAAAAAAAAGCTATGCTTCCCCACCATTTACGATTACTATTATTTTATTGTAAACCATGAAAAATAAGCTAGACCGTCAGGGTTTTGTGAAAAAATCTATAACTAGACATCTTAGTAGCGATAAACATAGATGGGCGTAGGAAATCAAAAGCTAATGAGCATATATAAAAAGTCTAATAGGAACAAACGGCCCATTATGTTGAATTCGTAAACAAATCATACAAAAGTTTTAAACAACCTACTGTAATAATCATCTTTTCGGGTCAATAGTTTCTCAATTATCACTTGCTATACGTACCGTTTATATGCAGTTTATTAGTAAGTCGTTTGTACGCTTAGCATGCATTTCTCTAGCTAGTCTCATAAAACTATTTCATCATAGATTAAAACCCTTTGGATTTGATGTCAAATCATGAAGTTTCTTCAATATCATGGTTTCATTCAATCAAATTGTAAAATTATTTACAATTAGTCTCGAAATATTTCCATCTTATTAATGAGTTTTATTATTATTATTATTAGTAATCCATGGGCATACCATAGGTTGTGTAGTGTAGTGTAGTGTATGTAATAGCTGCCTGTGGTTAGTGGAATTAATAAAACCCAGCCACTTTTATGGATAAAAAATCAATTATGAAGCTATGAAATGTATAATAATGCACTGCAGTATTAAAGATTTCTCTATTTGTTGTTGCCATGAGAAAATTAAGCATTAAATTTAAGATATCTTCCTCCTGCGTGTCTTAATTTACTCTTATTATGGTTCTTTTGGATGGCATGGCATGACCTATCCAACCATCAAATTTTCAATGGAGTTGGAATTCAATTCTGGATTTCATCAAGCCCAATAGAATTTGACAGAAAAGAATAGACCGGCCATACATCTGTCATGGTACCTAAAAACTTGTTTCATTTACCGCATAATATTTGATAGGATGCAATGGATTATAAAAAATATAATAACTCATCACGTTCCTATATGTAGATGAAATGGACTATCACAATTGTAACATTACAAATGGTAATAAGCATTACATAACTGAACAAAAAAAAAAAAAAAAAAAGGAATGAATCATGTAGCCAAGAAAAAGAAGGTAATAAATAAATTTTCATTATGTTATATACCAAACATTAATTACATCATTGTTAATTAAAGTAATTTCTTCCTACAAATCTTAGAACATATATATTGTGAAAGACATCTTAGAACAAATAAAATATAGTCTCTCGATTTTCAATAATGCTCCTTGTATATAAATAAATTAATTGCACACATGTTTATGCATCCGCTTGCTAATATATATGGATGTGAGTTTGTCCATATGAGAGCTTTATCTTTAAAGAGCAACAATGTTGAAAATCAAAAACTTCAACTCGTGATTTTCAGACCAATAAAGTATTCCAACTTTTCTTTGTTCGATGGGGCTTTCAGTTTTTAATTAATTTAGCACAAAAAAAAATGTAATAAACATATTTCATGCTATATGTAATTAGGAAAATGCTTGATGATACTATGGTGACGGACATCGTTTTTAAAAATAAAAAAAGGTTAGGAGTAAATTTGAAAAATGAAAATATTAAATGACATAATACTTATTGAAATAAAATATCATTTCTTGAATTCCTTCAAAAAAACACTACCCTTATAAAATTATGATAACTTTTTTTTAAAACCACTCGGTGTCATGTAGCATTACTCATGTAATTAATATCTATAATCCCTAATAAGTTACGACTTGGTTATCATAAATTGAGAGTTGAAATATTTGAATGGAAAAATTAAAATTAAAATACTTGTTTACAATTTTATTTTATTTTTTAGAAAAAATCTGTACCAAGAAGATTTTTTTTTTTTTTTAACTTATTATTAGAATTATTATTATTTCCTATGTTGTGAGAAAAGCAATGATAATCACGGTACCAAGCCCTCATCCTCGGCTTCCCACAATTCTATGGATCTTTTTTGTCCATTCCTACCTCAATACTATATGGTCTTCTTGTAGGCTAAGCCCAAATATTGTCATCTAAGCCAGTTTAGAGCAAATCAAGACCTGCATTTAGCAAGAGGCCTAGAACCAGGTCCGCCCAAGGCCTTTGTCCATAACGTATGTTTCTTTTTCAAACCAAAGCTTCTTATCAGATAACAAATAACAAAGATCATCTATTCAAACAAATCACACAAAATTTTCATGCATAACTCATGTGATAATTATTTTTTTCATTTTATCTATAACCAATCATTTAATATTTATAAATCTGTAATTCATCATTTATCACCTGTTCGTTTGGTATGATTTTTTTTTTTAAATATACATAGTTAGAAATATTTTTTTAACAATTAAGAATACTCTCAATCTAGCTTGTGCTTCAACCAAAAGTAAGTTATTTCTATATATAATTTTAAAGATTTAATTTTCACGTAAGCCAAGTGTGTTTAGGAGTAATATTTTTCTAGTTTTTCATTAGGATAGATAGTTCAATCTGTTCTTATATATTACTATGAATCTCCTATCCGTTTTTAAGTTTCTAATTACATATTATCGATTTTAAAAAATTATTTAAATATTCAACTTATCATTTCTATCAAATTTTTTGATCATATAGTCATGTGCATGTAGGTCACATGGTTAATTTTTCTAACCAAAATATTTTTGATTGAAAAAAAAAGCAAAAAACTCCTTTAAAGGCACATGTCGGGCACACGTTCAACCCCCACACACACACCAAGCATGACGATTTTGAAAATTAAAATCAAAATTCCTAATTCTCCAATTATATTCATTCCATTCAGTCTCAGTCTTCTCCCAAGCTCAAAATTCAAAAATCCCTAACCCTAATCATCTTCTCTTCATTCTCCATCCATTAATTCCATAAAGTTTACATGGAATCTGAAATTTCATCCTACATCAAGATATCAAGGTCAATCTTCAAATCACAACTAATTACCAATTGAATATTGCTATTGTCGACCTAGAGAATGCATTTCATTAAAGACAACCTGGACAAAGAAAAATTATGGAATGAGGTTTTTCAGTTGTCCAAAATATAAGGAGAAAAATAAGAGTCCCAGATTTTTTTGAGTATGTTGACCCTAATAAGACATATAGGTAAGGAAAAACAATTTCTGAGTATGGTTGTTTGTTGCTGGTTTTTGGATGGATTTGTGCTTTTGTGACGCCTTTGGTTGATGGGTTCTTGATACTGTGTTGTTTTTGGGTTTAGGTTTCTGTTTTGTAAGTTTCTAGATGGGTTATTTTCTAGATTTAGTTCGTTGTTTTGTAGGTATGAATACTAGGTTGTATTTAGGTTGCCTGTTGTACGGAATTTTGGTGTAGGTTTTTATAGATTGAATTATGATAACAACATAACAATTTTAAGTCAATGAATTATGCAATTTATATGTGTTGTAAAACTTTAAAATTTTACAAGAAAGGTTAAAATAACCTATAATTTCTTTAAATTGTGAAAATACATGCTCTTAGTTCGTAAAATATATGTATTGCTGTCAAGACATACACAAATCCATTTGAAATTGATGTAATGACAAGGGCAATTTTAACTTTCAAAACTACAAACTTCTATGAAATATCTTCTGACACTTACTTAAGTTTTGTCAAGTCTTCTAGTATGGAACTTTATTGCAGCCAATAAAACCGTATTTTAATTTTGTTAAGTCTTCTAATATAGAACTTTATTGCTGGAAATAAAACCATTTTTTTAAGATGCATCGCTTGACGAATATCATTGAAGAAAACCATTCAACAGTACCATAAATGACAAAAACAAACTATTAACAAAGTTTTACAGTCTTTCCTCAATATGAAAAAAAAAAAAAAAAAAAAAAAAAAAAAACTAAAGCTACATTAGGGATCCACTTAACCTATTGGAAATAGCAATAATAAAAAATTAAAAAAAAAATCCATGAAGCACTTTTAAACTGCGAGCAAATAGATAGAATTCCATCCACATTCAAAGCTCCTGTTACAACAATCATTAAAAAATACAAAAGCATGAACCACTCAATATTTCAACATAAACTAAAGTCTCTTTCCCGTGGCACTGCCCCCACCTTTGCCTTTGCCCTTGCTTCTGCCTCTCTCCCCACCTGCTGCATTCTTTTCAACTTCATTTGAACTGCATATGAAAATTATTAAGTTAATATCCACTAACAATTAAGTAAATAGAATATGATTCAAAAAAACTATTGTCTAACCTAAAAAATAAGGCCAACATCATGACTTGATTCAATCAACCTTGGGTAGTTACCATTTTGTTTAATGTGCTACTCAAACAAAACAAACAAGAAAATATTTTAGATTTATAAACCAATCAATCAATAGAAAACAGATTAAATTGATAAATATACCATTGTTCATGGATCAAAAGCTTTAGTAGCAACAACACATCTCCCTATTGATTTCATTAGGACATTTGCATCCGAAGACCACCTTCGAAGTGGAAGCAAATCTCTTTATTTATTGTATTTTCATCCGAAGGACTAGTTTCACCACCATTAGCAGTAGATCTCCTTTTTTATTTTCATGTGGTATTTACGGATTTAGGATTTGCATTTGAAGTCCTAGCTTCATAAAAAATAACGGCTCTATTTTCATATATCTTTCTAATATTTAAAGGCTATAGAACTATAAGTTGAGAGACTCTCTTAATTTTATGTCATGTTTGTCCATATTTTGAAGATTTGTTAAACTAAACTCTCGGTTTTGGCACATATGATGTCTTTGGTCTATCCGATCCTCTTATTTTATTCCTTTTTGGTCGACCAACTACCTTCATAACTCTCCATGGTACAATTTCGCATATCTATTAGTAGAGCATTGATTCTCACTATAAAATGAATCATTAGTTCAACATGTCTTCATTCACAACTCCTTTGTGTAACATTTATCAATACATTCCGTAAGTAATCCATGAGCATCATAGATTGCACTATTGACAAATACTCATAACGAATGCTTGAGAGTTGCCATTTGTTGCATTCATACCTCCATTTGCTGATATCAACATAAAATCTTTTAGATCTACAAGAGACTTGATATATCTCATTTCTAACACGAGATAGGTTTGTATTCATGGATTAACGAGCTTCAAGTTCTTAAGTTTCTATAAAAATTTTAGAAAAAACTTGATATGAATGTTGTTTGAATTCCTAATCTCTTCTTATGGTATCTTTCAATCATATTTTGTCTTATTTCTTCCATTGTGTAGATTATAGGTTTCTTCCTTACTTCTAGGATGTAAGCATTGAAGTTTTCATATAAATTATTCATCACCAAATACGTCTTTGTTTGTGGATTAAATGTATGGATGCACTATAAGTTAGGATCAATCTTTGAAAGATATGCATGTGCATGTTCATACTTTTTTCTTTTTTCATCATCTTTTTATGCACTCTTTCGGTGTAAGTTGTCGTGGTCTTTTATAAAAATCCTTTATATATTTTCTTCTATTTTCAGCTTCCCTAAAGTTGGCATAAAGATGCCTAAGACGAGTATCTATGAAAGACAATAGGGAAGTGATCTTTCAAGTCTTTATCAATCCTTACAAAATAGATTCTTCATACTTAGTTTTGCAAAAAACAATATTAAAATAAAAATACTATAATTAATGAGAAAAGGATTTTACCCTTTGTATATCGGACATTAAAACACAGCCATGTATCTCTGCAAGTCCAATGCAAGTGAAAAAGATGATTGAGAAATCAAATCCAAGTTTCTTTGGTCTCATGTTAGACAACGTTAAATACAACTAGATAGAAGTTATCATTTGCATTCAATATCCGAGTCCCATAGGACCCTTTTAAAAAAGTTTCATCAATCCAAATCAATCTCCTACAACCTAATGGTTCTTCAAGTTGACCAATGAGGCTAAAAAACATATCATCAAAAATTAGATTTGATCTTATTACTTGGAGAAATTGTTTGAATTTTACTAGCATTGGTTGATTTCAAAGCTTTAGTATAATCCCACAATCTCTTAAACTATTTTTTATGATCTCTAAGAACTTCCTCAAGAGCTAATTATCATGCTTTATAAGCAATTGATCTTGATACACTTTTAAAATCTCTATCAATATCATTTATAGAAACCTTTCACTTTCTATCATCCCCGAAGTGCTCCATATATGTTCCACTTAGTCATTTATTTCCTATATTTCTATTTTTAAATGCCGGATACGGTTATGCTTCCTTCTATATTCTAACTTGAAAAGATTCCTATTACTTACCTTAGCAGCATGAATTCTCTACCCATATATTAGATGGCACTCAATAGTGACCTTACCAAGTCATCATTTATATACCGAACTCCTTCCTATATTAACGGAATACTTTTTCGATACATTTCTTAACACATCTCTATTAACAAATAACAAACCTATCTTAAAATATGGATTTTCTATATTTATCATGATGTCAAACTCATCAATTCTAACCTTTCTAACCCCATAAATCTCATGATCAGAATTGGCTAGAGACTCTAACTCATCACTTTTACTCACATCAAATCCATTATCAAACTCTGTTTCCTGCATAACATCTTTTATATTTTACCTTGGCTTCTTGGCCGCCTTTCTTGTAACATTTTCTTGTATAGTTGCCCTTTGCACCACATTCATAGGTATGGCAAATAAGTCTTCATTTAGAGAACTCATAAGTAAATCTTCCAATATTTTCTTCATAAAATTCATTGAAAAAAAACCATTCAAAATCAACATCATTCTTTTTTCATTATCTTTTCATTTTCTATCTCCACTTTATCTTCAATGTCCCAATCATCTTTATTTTCTCCAAGCACCATGTCCTTCATCATCCATGGTATTATTCTATTCAAGTCTATCAACAACAAAACCTTCAATATCATTATCTTCATTGTCTATATAGTAGTCCTCCATGTTATTATAATCTACCCCAATCTCAACATGTTCCATAAATCCATTCACATTACAATATCCAGCTAACACACCACTAGCAACATCACCATTACTATCACGAGCACCTAGTGCTACTTGCTCTATATGATTTAGGAGTGCTAAATCATTATTTTCTCTAACTAATCTATCTCTAATTGGTTTTGAGTTAGGAGTTTCGAGTTATACTCAACATATATCGTTGTAGCACTCAACCCATAAATCTTATAAATTTTAACCATTTCAAGAACATGTCTTATCATTTTTAACAAGACAAGTCCAGGAACAACAGGTCGAACATAATGCATTGCATCTCTATAACTAGCAAAATTGGCTACCTTCTTACAAGTATCCACTATGTCACAAAACCGATTACATCAATATCTACACCCGTTACATTTTCTATTTCTCCATTAATGTAATATTTGATACCATTTTCTCTAATTATTTGACCTTTGAAATGCACTTTGGAAATTGATCTTCAAGCCATTATGTTTAAAACCAAAAATTCAATTGTATTTTTTAAAATTATAATTACTAACGATACTTAAACCGATTTAAATAGACTAATCTCATAAAAAATTACATATGCAACTAATTACAAATAACATTTATTTGTTTAAAAACAAAATTAAATAAAATAGAAAAACCATGTACCTTTTTTGTTATATCACATCAACCAATACTCACAATAAGTATTAACATCATATAGGTTTTAATAAACACGATTCATGATGCAACTTTTATGGGTTTCATAGCTAGGTTCATGATTGAGTTTGGGTTTTGGAATAACTTTTTTGGTGTCTTTGTTTTCCTCTCTAAATGGAATGAATATAGTTAGAGAATTATGAATTTTGATTTTAATTTTCATAACACACGAGCATGATGCGTGTGGGGTTTTTTTTCAATCAAATGCATTTCAATAAAAAAAAAAATTGACCATGTTACCTATATATGACCATCTAGTAAAAAAAATTGATCGAAAGAACATATTGAATAGTTAAATAATTTTCAAAGACATATGTGATATAATTAAAAACTTATAGATAAATGGAAGATTCAAGATATTATATAGGAACATATTGAGCTCCTTACCCTTTTAGTTCTAATATTCAAACTCATGAAGAATTAAGAGAGGGAACAAACCTCTTTAACCACTCGTTCTTTTGCTATACAAAGTATACAAGTATTAAATGAACTCGTATCTAAGTCCAACCCTAATTATTTTATAGCAAGGTCATAATAATGAGATTATTCAAGTTTAACCATAGTTTTAAATAGTGGTTGCAGCTTGAAAAAACGATCGCAATCATGGGTCGCGGTTCATCGCGATCGTAAAATAACGATTGTGGTAGTTAATTGTGTGAATATATTAGCAATCGGAAATAAATTTATTCTAATTCACATTTTTTGACAGTTTTACTAATTAAACATAATAATAAGTAATCATATCTCTAATAGTTTAATAACATATAACAATAGTTAAATTTATTATAAAAAAATAATTAATAACACTTCTAATAGATTAATATCACATGAAAAATAATAAAATACATTATAATTTCAATATACACATTATAAAATATTCATCTCCAAAAAGATCGTCGTGTAGGATTATAATAATAGTTATCATCTTATTGTTGATGTTGTGATCCTAGTCTATCAAACTTACAACCATAACCATATTGTCCTTCCAAACCCAATTTTCCAAATAATGAAGCAAGCAATGGATGATCCAATTTCTTGAGGATATTGTGGATTTGAAATTGACTCGGTCCGATGAAGTTCCATATGAATCATAAGATACATAACTATGTACTTGTGGACCTTGTGGGTGATAGTATTGTCCTTGACCATAATTGAAGTTATAAGTCGAACTATTTTTGGAATAGACGAGTGATGTCCTTAATCATTCAGTATGGTACCAATAGATTGTTATTTTTCTACTATTGGTGTTTTATTTCTAGCATCAAATTTAGGTGTAGTAGAACCATGTAACCCACACCTATATAGAATTGGATTGACACTACTATCAAAAGTTATTCCCTTTCCACGACTTCCATCATTGCTACTGCTCGCTATTTCGTTATGAAAAGCTCCCATATCACTAGGTTCCTCATCTTGATCATCATTATCACCATTATTACTATCATGCATATTAGTTTGATCAATAGAATTATTTTGATCGTTTTTGTCATCACCACCGTCATCATCGCTATCATCATCATGCACATGCAATCAATCCATATTTTTGTCCATCGATGATTGTTTGTTCATTTTCCTTCAACCAAGGAGACAAGTGGATCAATCTTCATAAAACATGTAATCCAAATTGATAGGATTAAAACTTTCTCTTAATTCTTTCGAATCTTTCGCAAGGTATTTCTTAACCTTAGCGTCATGTTGTAATGAAGATAAACAAGTGTTTAATTTTTGATACTTCAACCTATTTCTTATCTTCGTACGTAATAAGCTGAAAGTGCTCTAATTTCTCTCACAATTTGAAGTGGAAGTTGTTTGACTCAAAATCCGCATTGCAATCTTTCTAAGCATTGGAGCATCATTTTCATAACTATTCCACCACTCAACTACATTGAACAAATAAAATTTTATAAATTAAAAAAAAATAACACCAATAATGTTTACAATATGAAATTTTATAAATTAATAAAGTACCTGGATTTGTTAAATACACAACCTTCTAAGCCATGGTTAAACCAAATATTTGTTGTTTCAAACCATACAATTCCAATCGCATATTTAAATTAAAAAATATTTTCATAATATTATAATATATATCATATGATATTAAATATTTTTAGCATCTTATGTTATCACAATTCACAAGATTATTTAACTTACTTCATTGATGGCTTTGATTTGCTTATCAATGCCGGGTTCTAATATCATAATTACATTTTTGACAACTTGCATAATTTTTTCATCTTGATAAATTGGATTCTCTCGGAGTACATCATGATATTAGGGATTCAAAAAATAACCTACAAAAAAAAGTAAATAACATTACTTCTTAATGATATTTAAGTATAAATAATAATTGAAGATATCTTTAGATTGTTATGATTAATTTATATAAATTTATATACTTACCAACTGTTATGTAAGTCTATATGTAATTGAAATTCCCATCGTTTATCAATTATATCGCACCATGTTTTTGAATATCAACAACTTGCTTGGATTTTTGACTTTGTTCTTTGCGATTGCTTCATAGATAAACCCCATAGTCAGGCTTGTCATAACCATACATAAATTTAAAAACTTTTACAATTCACTCCTCAATGGTTATCACTTCACTTGCCTTCTTTCATAATCTTATTACTTATAGATCTTCCTACAGCACTAACATACGAACGTCGATAGCAAGTCGATCCTTCATCCTTTTATATGTAGAATTATTCCAAGCTTCGACTCCCACATCTCCTTGAGTGCATTCTTAAACTTAACAATGCTTTCTAAAGCAACAAAATTGGTGGCAAATCTAGTGATGCCGAGTCGAAGTAAGTCACACCCATTAGTAAATTTTTTCATACAATTATCTACCCAATTATAATTATGAATAAATTAGGTAATTTTTTTTTTTTTTTTGCCTTCTCAAGCAATTCTTTGACCTTTAATTTTTTTTTAATGTCTTCTAAAGCTAGATCCAAACAACGAGCGAACAAGCCGACCAATATAAGTGAGGACAAATCTATATTAACTTTTTTCCTACGAACTTTCATAGCGACCTCATTAGCAGATCACTATCTAGACCACTCTATATTCACTAGCTTCATCCACCATTTTCTTCATCAACCCGAAATAATATTCAGCATCCTTTGTTAGCACATTTGATGCATCAACCGATTTGATGAACACCGTGTTTCGATTTGAATAAACAAGAAAATTGATGATGTGCATTTTAGTCGGTCTAGACCATCCATCACACATGATTATGACACCTCTCTTATTTCGGATATTTTCATAATCTTTAATATACTTCTTCATATTTGTCATCTTTTCAGTCAAATATACCTCCGAAAGATCATAAACACTAGGAGGTGGAATTCTAGAACCAACTTCAATGGTAGTTTTAAGCATTGTTGAAAACCAAGGAGATTCCATAGCATTGAATAGGATTCTCTCATGAACAAAAAAATGTCCAACTACTCTTCTTAATGTTGCTTTCCTAATTTTATATAA